TTAAAATTTATTACAATTTTTTTGATAAAAATAATATATATTTTTAATAAATATAAATAAAATTTAATTATTAGAAGTGAATAAATGAATTATTGAAATTTTAGATAAATGTAATATTTAAAATTTATATATAAGTGGGTCTTTACTCATAATATAATATAAAAATAAAATAATTAAAAAAAGCCCTATTCTAAACAATTCAAATCCTCATAAATTCACAAAACTATTATGCAAATTCACCTCTGATAACATGTTAAGGTGTTATTTATAAGATAGAGATACCAAAATCCAATTCAATTACTTAGAAAAGAAGACTTAAAATGGTGCCCGTATTGTTGGTTAATGCAATCAAAGCACCATTTAGCTGTGAAATCGGCGCCAAGTTGAAGTTGTTGCAGGTGACTACTGCGCTGTTAACAGCCACAACCTTGGATAATGCATCCTTGTATTCCTTTCCGTCGAAAAGCCGGAGTCCCATATTCATATCGGCTATGCTCTGGTTGTAGTTGGCCGTACATGCCGAGTACATAGCCCAGGTCAGGTAGTCGCTTGCCTTCAGGGTCCACTCTCTAACCTCCGGATAGCCTTTCTTCACTTTGGAAGAAGATACCTCCATGGAGATCCTTGCCAGGGTTGGCATGTCAGCGTTGGAACTTCGAGGGTCTGATTCTAGAGCTTTAACGCAGTCCTCCGGATAATAAGTTCTGTTGCAGGTTTTTGTTATCAAGGGTTTGCCAGTCTCAGCAGCATAGGTGGTGGCGAAAAATGGACTGAAAAGAAGCAGAATTGAGAGGAGGGGGAGAGAGCGGAGAGGTTGAGTCTCCATTTTTTTCCTAGTACAGGATGGGCTCACCAAGTTTTGTATGCATATAAATATATAGCATTAATTTTCTGGTTAGTGGTCTTAGTCTAGGTAAACAGCAGTAATTCACACGAAATCCTGAGTGGAGAAAATTAAGCTTGAATTGGACAGTTCAGAGTTGATTAAGGAAATGATGAATATACAAGAAAAGGCTTCAGATTTTGTGCAATCCAAATCCATGGATTTGGATAAGAAAATCTGGTATTGTAATAAATAAATAAAGGCAAAAGCCCCTATTTGAACCCTCCATTTATTTGTTTTTCACGGTCAACACCTTTTAAAATTTTTTCTCCCTATTAGCACCCTCTATTTTTTCAAACCTGTGAAAAACCCAATATTTTAACGGGCCGTCACGTAACCGTTAACAACCGTTAAAAAATATAATACGTGGCACCTGAAAATTAACTTGGACATTATTTAACGTTATCTATCCAACATGAACTTTTTTTTTTAATGACGTGGCATAATTTTTTATGCACTTGGATGCCCACGTGTGCAGTAGGAACACTGTTAACAGGATTTTTCCTGCTTGTCTCGCATCCCAACCCAAAAAAAAAAAAAAAAATCCTAAAACAAGGAACTTCATCCCCAATCTCAAAAACCCAGTTTCCAGATTTAGGATTTCTCGAATCCTTAACAAATGTACAATGGAATTGGATTTGTCGACCTCACCAAGAAACCCAACAGGGACATCCTTGAGCATGATCGTAAGCATCATATCGAGCTCACGGAGTAGGGCTACATCGATGCTGAGAATGCTAAGAAGCTTCTTGAGGCCAGGAAAGTGTTGGAAGCTCTTATCGCTTCCAATGAGATCACTGTGCTATGATGGAGATGGAGCCATCAGCAGAGGCGGATAAGAGGTTTTGAGGAAAGGAGCCATCGCAATCGTGTATCAAGCAAGCTTGAGGAGAAACAAACCCAGATCCAGGTTATAGTGAGG